ACTATACCAAATTCTTTAAGGTCATCTACTTTTCTGTTCAGTTTCTGAAATCTCTGTACATGTGAATGTGCTTAAAAAGTTAGGGTCTAGTTGCCTTTGGTTAGCTAAAGTGTTTTGTGAGAGTAGAATTATCGACAATACCAGCTGCTTTATACCTCAGTCTTCAGCGAAATCAAACAAATTTCGTAACTGGGAAGTGAAGCAAAATTAAAGGCGGTGCCATGTAGTGGATATTTACAGATGGATCGGTGTATCTGGGTGCAGCACTGGTGGTAACAGAAACTTCAGGTTTTAAATAAGTTGGAGTAGAGCTGTAGAAAATTGCATTCGTTGAAGGAAGTCCCAGTAGCCATTCCAGTTTTGAGTATCATCTCCCCTTAGAGTAACTGATGGAGAACGAAATGGCTCCGCTGTGCCGGAGAGGTGTCAGGAGATGAGACCGAGTTACTGGGGCCTTCCGTGCGGGTGCTGTGGCTCTTGCCCAAATGCTTCCTTGTTTCACTGTCGTGTCATCTTTCAGACCTGGCCTTTCCCAGACGTGCTGGAGTGCTGCCTCGTCCTGCTTCACATCGGGGCCCAGTGTCCGGGCAGCATAACCCAAGAGATGCAGCGCCAGGCCCAAGAACTCCTTCAGAAATACGGCAACACCAAAGTTTACCAAAGACACTGCCAGACCTTCTGCACGTGAACTTTCAAGGACTTTCAAATAAATTGTGTCATTGTGTCAAATTCACAACATCTGACACTTTCACCTCTGCCAGACATTCTGTCTGATCCCTAGATGTTTCTGCAGTGATCCAGATAAAACAAAACGAGGATCAAATTTGAATCAACTCTACCCTTAACCACAGTAGAATCTGACTCTGGACTCAGTTGTGGTTTCCTACTGAAGGGTCATCAAAAGCCAGCAGTAGTTACTAGAACACCTACCTACAAGAGTCGTCGTTGGTCATCTCTACAGCCTTATCTAGGTTTCACTCAAAGAGGAGAAACTTAATCACCCAAAGTATTATGTTCTTATATGCTCTGATTGTCAACATGTCTTGTTTGAGAGAGAACTGCTGCAGTTTGACTACTGGTATGATTTTTTTTACATTGTTTCTGTTAACTTAGGTTCTCCCCTCCACTCTGCTGCCACTGCTTCTGCGAAATGTGAACTGGGCCTTACCCATCATGTTGAGTCTTTACCCTCTGTCGGAACTTTAGGTCAAAATTTTGCTTTTATTGCTTCATGTAATTGCTTATTTGAACAAATCATTTACTAAAGTGTTAGGAACAAATAACTAACTCAAATGTGTGTTATCCCGTCACTTTTGGTGATCAAATTTCAGAAAGAAATTACTGTTTCAGTTGTTCTTTGAGAGTTAGACTGAAGCCACAGATGATCTTTGAAGAAAATGCACATTCCTTCCTAATTTTTTTTTTCTATCCTCACCCAAGGACATTTTTGTTCAGATAGAGTGGAAGGGGGAGAGAGAGAGAGAGAGAGAGAGAGAGAGAGAGAGAGAAACATTGATGTGAGAGAGACACATTGACTGGTTGCCACCCACACAACCCCAATCGGGGCTGGGGACAAACTTCAACCAAAGTATGTGCCCTTAGCGGGAACCGAACCCGGGACTCTCGGGTCCGTGGGCCGATGCTCTAACCGTTGAGCCAAACCAGCCACGGCTGTATATGTAAGTTTTGGATCATTGCATAATGGACCCTACATACTAATTAATTACAAATCCTTGTTCTTTTATTTATTGTTTTCTTTTTAACTAATGAGCATTCTTTTGAGGTCGGTTCTCTGGTTATTTAAATAGCCGAATAATGTCAGGAACAGATGTTTCCAGAATATCCCAGTTGCTAGGACATAAAATTAGACAGTTGGGTAGGGTTGAGATGGAACACTCTTTCCCAATAATTGAACTATTTTCTTTTGGGATTCATTATGGAGGCTTTTTTGCATGAGTGTCCAGTTTATTTTTCCATATTTTTCCTAGGGTTGGGATTGTTATGGACAAAAATAATGAAATTCACTAACAGGAACTCTTTAGGAAGGAAAAAGTTTAAGAGGCTGTTTTCAAGGATGTGACTTAGTGGGGGTGGTTTTGTTTTAGACCTAGCTTTAGAATGTTAAAATGCTAAATTCAAAAAAGTAAAGACCAATCCTCATAGTTCTTTCTACAGTGAAGTGTGAGCTCTATGATGAAGACGGTTGTAGGCTAGAGAAATCTTGGTTGCAAAGATATAAATAGGCATGGCTAAGTGGAGAACTTACACACCAGTTCTACAGTCTGCTAAAATGAACAAACGCTTCACTTGCAGAGGTGGAAAAATACTCCCCCCACTTGACTAAAGAGCAGTATGTATTATTCAAGTACAAATTCTAAACTTTGACTAAAACCATGACCTGTGGATACAATAATTACTACTTGACAACTAGGCAATAAAACGACCCACTAGCATAAGATAACAGAAATGATACAACTCCATTTCTTTTCAAATTGCTCTCTTTTCAATACTATATAATGTATTCAAGCTATTCTAATTTGACTAAATGGTTTTTATCTCTCTCTCCCCAATTATTGGAACCACAAAGAGCCAAAGCACCAAGGAGAGTTGACTCAGGTTTTGAGGGGATAAAATATATCACTAAGCAACTAAAGAGTTAGTTTTGGTCCTTTACCCCATCCAAAGTAACTCTAGCTCTAATCGGTATATCCAACAACAAACCACTGTCCTCCTCCCCGGATGACTGCATTCACCTCCCAGGATGTCTCTAAATTTACACTTTCCTAATAATAATTCTCCATTCTTCATTTTTACATACCAATGACTTCTAAATTGCACATCAAATCTTGTCAATACCATGCTTTAAAAAGTCTCTCAGCCCTGGTCAGTGTGGCTGTTGATGGGAACATCCTCCCATGTACTAAAGGATCTCAGGCTCGATTCCTGGTCGGGCATATACCCAGGCTGCGGTTTTGATCCGGTCAGGGCACATGTGCAAGGCAAACAATCGATGTTTCCTTTCTCCCTCTCTAAAATAAATCAATAAAAATATCCTCAAGCAAGATTTTTTTTAAGTCAGCAGTAGTTTCCCATTGCTCCTGGATAAAAGGTAATTTTTTTTTTTTTTAATCCTCACCCTAGGACATGCTTATTGATTTTGAGAGAAGATTCAGTGTGGAAGAGAAACACTAATCGGTTGCCTCCTGTATGCATCCCAACTGAGAATCGGACCACAACCTAGGTTCCCTGACCAGGAATCAAACCTGCAGCCTTCCGGTGCTTGGCATGATGCTCCAACCAACTGAGCCACCTGGCCAAGGCAAAAGGTCATTTTGAATGTGGCTTACAAGGTTCTGCTTGATCCCAGCCTTTACCTCTTGGTCATCTGTCAAGATATTCTCATCCATGCTTCTAGATAACAGCCACACTGGTCTCTTAGTTGCTGGAACCCACCAAGTGAATGTTCTTGTCATCTCGGGATTTGCCCATGTTGTTCCTCCGCCTGACCCACCTTTACTCATCTCTTAGATCTCAGGTTCAATGTCTTCTCTCTGAAAAGACTGCCTGACCTCAAATTCAAGGTTATCAGTATCCTATGCTTGACAGTTCACAAATTATATTTTTGTTAATTTACTATCTGGCAACACAGATAGATTGCAAACTCCAATGAGGATAGAGACTGTCTTCCATGTGCTGTTTTATCCCTAGCACCTTATAGTGTCTAGTCCATGCATAATGGAACCTTAATGACTGAATAAATTATGTCATTGAAAGACTACTCATTAATAGCTAATACTCATTAATAGGACTTAAAGAGGACTCTAAACTGAGCTCCTTCACACCAGCACTGACCACTAGGCTTGTGGTTGATATTCAACCTCTCTGGAATTCAAGAACGTGGCAGTATATGTGGAGGGGCAGAGTTACACCCATAGTTAGCATGCCCTTGGTTACTCTTCAGGAGCATCCCTTCCTTAGTATAACCACTCTCACAGCCCTATACACGCTTACACACAAGGCCAAGTTTCTGCCAGTTCTATCCATGTACCCTTTCTATGGTACTTGAATAAGCTCTTACCTCTCCCATACAGTAAATGACCAGACCCCTACTCAACATTCAATTCGAGACTCCATCTCAATTATTTCTGCTGACAAATCAGTTAAGTCTTTCCTCAGTTGTGGCAAAGATAATTCCTATTTCAACCCAGATGTAGAAAGAGATCTGTGCAGAGTTCATAGTCACCAGCATACCAAAGCACTTGGACTAAGAACCACTGGCTATGCTGATTTTACTGCAAATCTTAGCAATGAAGATCTCGCATCCTATATATATGTCCATCCCAGTCCAAATCCTAGACCTGCTCCGCTCCTGTACCTGACTTCTCACAACTCCACACTTTGTGCCAATAGGAAGGGTTAGACACAAAGTTCTGAGTTTATCTGAAGTTCAACTGGTATAAAAGAATTCTAATTAACAAGTCACCATCTATATAATGAAATGGCCCCAAGAAATAGTTAAAACTGGTTTCCAAGTAAGGCTCAATAATCGTCAAGGAGTTTGAAGTGTTTCGTTTACACAACTGCTCATTAAGTTTCCTTCAAAGTGAGCTGTTTGGCCCTGGCCAGTATGGCTCAGTGGTTACAATGTTGGCCCGTGGACCAGTCACAGGTTCAATTCCGGGCCAAGGGGATGTACCTCAGTTGCAGTTCATCCCCGGCCCTGGTTGGAGTCGTGCGGGAGGCAACCAGTTGATGTGTCTCTCTCACATCAATGTTTCTCTCTCTCCCTCCCTCCCTCCCTCCCCTCCACTCTATCTAAAGATAAATGGAAAAAATATCCTCAGGTGAGGATTAAAATTTTAAAAAGTGAGCTGTCTGTATGCAAGCCAACTTGTGGAAAATGGAGGCAACAGTTTAGAGAGACCAGGTGCTTCTGCTACGGAGAGCAAACGTCCATTTCCAGAGCCAGGAATTCACAGCTATGAATGACCAAACCTTCATGCCAGTAGTTAAAAAGAAATCTTTATTATACAAAATTAAAAACATAAATATATTTACAAGCATCTTAAATACCAGCTTATAATACTTGACATTTTTTAATCATTTCAAATTGAGTTTTCTATAAGCTTTTAAAATGCAAGACTATTCATCCACTTCCGTGAGTTGCCAGTTTTCATTTCCACCATCACTAATGGGTTTTGGTTTTTCAAAATTGTTCTTACTGTAGTCATTCAAAAAAAAAAAAAAATACAGTGTACTTTTTAAATGACTACATTTAATTCTTTTGAGAAGAAAAAAAAAAAATCACAGTCCTGAGTTTTCTACCCCAGTTGTGGGATATTACTCCAAGAGAACTCTACAAATCAAATTCTGTACTGCCCTGTTTACATGAACCACTAAAACTTTTCAAAGATTCACATTCCTGGCACTCACATGAATCCATCCTCCGAACTTCTCATGTTTGCTGAAAGAAAAAGCAGGGAAAACAGAGAAGAGGGGTGGGGAATACAAATGACCATCCAAAATCACAACAGACTTATGATCCAAAATTCTGATCTTAACTAATGTCCTTCAGGATCAAATCCATGATTTTACTACATGAAAACGTAAGATGATTTCAAATGACGCACATGTGACAAATCCCAGTGGCACAAAAGAACGTAAAGACACTTAAGTGGTTGACTTAATGCCCACTCTGGTGTTCCTGATGCATAGACAGATTCAGTCGAATATTGTTTTTAGGCAAGTTTTCATTATCTGGTCTTCAAATGTCAGCAATGAGCATGTAATTCATTTCCAAATAATAGTACATAAAAAAAAGACTAACAAAGTGTGAGGAAAGTAATTGTCCTTGAGAAGGGTCAAAAAAAGGAAAGGATAAGACTCAACACCTACCACCCACACTTAAGAATACCGTTTTGTTCCACTTTTCCTGGAAGCCCTCAGCTCAGCTGAGATTCATAGCAAGTCTTCATCCTCAGAGATTAGCAACAAATTTAAAAGAAAAAGAATGACAACACGTAAGAGTTATATACATTTTACTAGTTTGTTTCTCACTCGTCCTGGATATTTTAAAAGGTTGCAAATGAGCCATGAATGCTGGTGGCAGGAGGCAACTGGAGAAGAGGCCTGGGGATGAGGAACAGGTAGGTAAGACTTGTTTACAAATTCAGAGCAAACCCCCCTCTTCTGGATCTAAAAGACCTCTTTGTCTTCAGTAAAACAAGTCTTTCTGCTCAATGCAGATGGTAAGTTCAGTTTGCTCAAAAGAAGCATTTCTCTTGGGGAGGAAGATAAGTATACACAGTCAGCACAGTAAGCACCACTCTGGGGCAGGCGCACCCAGGACAGCCTCGCCACCATCACTGCTGCATGTTGTTGATGATCGCCAGGATGCTCATCTTCTCCTGGGCAGAGTCCACATCCTCATTCTGCTTCTGGGCCACTCCCGTGCCCAGGCCATAAAGCCGCCCACAGTACTTGGCATCATCAATACTGTCCTCAAAAAACAACTGCAGAATGGGACAGAGAACCCGTGGTAAGAATCATGCCAAGACTTATGCCAAGAATCATGTCAAGTCTCAACACTACATCAGCACTTCCCAGCTCTTTTAGAGACCTGAAAATCTAGTCAACTAGAAATTCATTCCATTAAGAAAGGTTCCAAACCTTTTCATGCTCCTTTCTGAACAGACTTCTTTTTTCCATGAGTTCTTTTACTGCCGGGATCCGTGCTGCTGCTGCTTAGTACAAATGTCCCATTTCGTCCCTTCTCTTTAACAGGCAGGGCAATGGTTAAGAGATTGGGATCTACAGACTGACCCACTGTGCGACCTTAGGAAAGTCACTTCAACTTTCCTTAAGCCCTGTTCCCTATCTATAAAACACAGTATCATCATAAGTTGTCATTAGTGAGATAATGGACATTAAGCGCTTATAACAGGGTGTTTATCTCAACCCGGGCACTGCTGGGCAGGATGACTTTGTTGGGGTGAGTGTGGCTTGTCCAATGTATTGTAGTACTCTATGATATTTAGCAGCATCCCTGGCCAGTAGCATGCTGACCCCCAAGCTCCACCCCCAGGTTATGCCAACCAAAAATGTCTCCAGCCACTACCAAAAGTACTTCAGGGGGCAAAATCAGGAAGATTGATGCTGTCAGCTTTGTTCTTTCCCAGTACTGCTCAATTTGGAGTCTTTTTGTGGTTCCATACAAATTTTACGATTGTGGGCTCTATTCCTGTGAAAAATGCCATTGGAATTTTATGGGGATTGCATCAAACCTGTAGATAACTTTGAGAAGTATGGACATTTTAACAATATTAATTCTTCCAATCCATGGGCACAGAATATTTTTCCACTCATTTGGTTGTCTTCAATTTTATTTTTTTAATATTTTTTCTTTACTGATTTTAGAAAGAGAGGAAAGGAGAGAACATTAATTGGGTGCCTCCTGTGTACCCCCACTTGGGATTGGGCCCACAACCTGGGCATGTGCACTGACCAGGAATCGAACCGTGACCTCTTGGTGCATGGGTTGACACTCAACCACTGAGCCACACCGGCCAGGCTCGTCTTTCTTTCATCACTGTCTTACAGTGTTCAGGGTACAGGTCTTTAGTTAAAATTTTTTTCAGTATGTTTTTTATTGATTTTAGAGAGAGGAAGGGAGAGGGAGAGAGAGATAGAAACACCAATTGGCTGCCTCCTGCACGCCCCCCAACTGGGGATTGAGCCTGAAACCTGGGCATGTGCCCTGACTGGGAATCAGATCTGGTGACCTCCTGGTGCATAGGACAACCTCCTGGTGCAAGGCAGGACGCTCAACCAACTGAGCCATACAGGCCAGGTGGTTTTTGGTTACATTTATTCCAAGGTATTTCGTTCTTTTTGATGCAATTATAAATAAAATTGTTTTTATAACTTTCTGATTGTTCATTATTAGTGTACAGAAACACAAAAAAAATTCTGTATATTTATTTTTGTATCCTGCAACATTTTTGGGTTTTTTTGCTTTTTTTTTAAAGATAGGAAGGGAAGGAGGGGGGAGGGAGAGACAGACAGAGACAGAGACCTCAATTTGTTGTTCCTCTTATTTATGTATTTATTGGTTGCTTCTTGTATGTACTGACTGGTGACTGAACTCCCAACCTTGGCGTACTGGAACAACGCCCTAACCAACTGGCTACCCGGCCAGAGTTTGTATGCTGCAACTTTACTGAATTTGTTAGTTCTAACAGTTTTTTGGTGGAGTCTTAAGGTTTCCATAGATAATATCATGTCATCTGCAAATACTGACAGTTAATAGCTTCCTCTTTTTTGATCTAGATGCTTTTTTAATTTCTTTTTCTTGCCTTATTGCTCTAGCTAGACCTTCCAATACCATGTTGAATAAAAGTGGCGAGAGTGGGCATCCTTGTCCAGTTTCTGACCTTAGAGGAAAAGCTGTTGATTGAGTATGATGTTAGTTGTGGGATAAATAGGTGGTCTAATAAATGTGTTCACATTATAGAAATCAGAAGAAAATCAAATAATTGCAACAATTAGAGTTGCTAGTAATACCAAATATACTTCTAGACTTGGGCATGCTGAGTGGCCTCCATTTTAAACTATATTTAATATACTGAACGTCATAACAAACAAACAAGAAACCAGCTTTCAATGCAGTTATCAACTTCCAACAGAAACTAAGTTTTCAATAAAACTCAGACCACAAAGGTCATCCTACTCCTTCCTTAGCCTTACCTCTTTCATCCTGAAGAATGCCATTCCTGTCAGCAGTGAGTCTGAGCCTGCCTGATGCTGCCTTCCAATTCTCTGCAAATCCAACTGATCAGCAACTTCCTGAAGACCTCCCTGGAGATGTAAGGAAAACAAAGATAATATTACAAACCCACACTCCACTACTCCAGTCAATTAAATCCATTCTTGAGTGTACTTCTTTTGGTGATGAGAAGTGGGAACAGGCCACTCCAAATGATACATTGTGTTATATTCCACTTTTCACTTCTTTCTTTTATCATTAATTTTGTCAGATCTCTGCCCCATAAAATCCTAACTATTGTAAAACAAGTTTTAAGAAATATAAATGCCAATCTAACTCAAGACAGCAAACCTCTTATGTCAATAATTTATTAGGGTAGTGAGTTCTTAAACTATCTAGACTCTAGACCAACAACTTGCAACCTTTTTCATCTCATGGTACACACAAACTAATTACTAAAATTATGCAGCACACTAAAAATATATTATATGTCGATCTGACAAAATTAAACATATATCATTTTAATTAATTTACAAAAACATAATAACAGTAATTATCTACACTTTGCTCCAAAGTGACTTTTTCAAAAAGCAGGTGCCTATACTTATACATAAGAATAGCCATACCAAGAATTAACCAATCAGATGCAACCTTATTATGCAATATGACCAATAAGATGCAACTCTGTTATATGACCTATATATTTATGGTTCAAGACAGGGCATTCACATCGAACAGCTATTATGTTGGCTGCTGTCGTTTTTATTTGACAATGTAAGGGAAGAGATGTCAGTGTCACTGACTAGTCAGGTATTGCATGTTTTAAAAATTCCTGCAGCACACCAGTCTAGGGTTAAGAACTCTGATCTGAGTCTGGTACCTACAGACCCCATTACTGTTACAAATACACCTGTTATCAAGTGTTTCACTAGGTTCATGGGCCTTAAGTGAAGAAAACCTGTCTTGTGATGAAAGAAGCAGAGGGCTCCCTTCATACCCAGGTTAAAGACAGTTACCACATAAATTCCTATGCCAACCAGCTCCTATTTTTGTTTTTTGTTTTTTATCCTCACCCGAGGACATTTTTGCATTTATCTTCAGATAGAGCGGGAGGGAGAGAGGGACAGAGAGAGAGAGAGAAACATCAATGTGAGAGAGACACATTCGAATGGTTGCCACCCAAACGACCCCAACCGGAGCCAGGGACAAACTGCAGCTGAGGTACGTGCCCTTAGCGGGAACCAAACCTGGGACTCTCTGGTCCGCAGGCCGACACTCTAACCGCTGAGCCAAACCAACCAGGGCCCATTCATCTCTTTATACAATATGTCTAGCACAATGCTGGCACCTAGCAGTCACTCAAAAATGTAGGCTGGCCCTGGCTGGTTTGGCTCAGTGTTTAGAGCATCGGGCCTGCAGACCGAAGGATCACAGGTTCGATTCCCAGTCAAGGACATCGTGGGTTGTGGGTTTGCTCCCCAGCCCTGGTCGGGGCCTGTGTAGGAGGCAACCAGCCGATGTGTCTCTCTTATAACGATGTTTCTCTCTGTCTTCCCTCCTACCCCCCTTCAACTTTCTCTAAAAAAATAAAATAATGTAAAATAAAAAAGGAAAAAAATATCCTCAAGAATTAACAAAAACAAAACAAGAATGCATGCTGAACAAATAACAAAGCAAAATGGTAAGTCTGCTTTTTTGTTGTTACTAGTATTAAGAAAAATATTGTACCTTAAGATTTTTGCAACTCTTCATCAGGTATTTCACATCATAAATGGATGGGAAGAAAAGGTTCAGAATATGAAAGAATTCATGTTCCTCTTCTGGCAAACGAGAATCCGTAAGTAACTTTACCATGTAGCCAAAATCATAGCCACTACAAGGAGAGAAGGAGGTATTAAGGTGAAAGAGCAAGCAATAGTTATTATGCCCCAGTATTCAACCGGTGTATTTCTCAGAGTTTATGATGCTATCTTTCAGTCTTCCAAAGTATTTTATCCTACTGTAATGTGAACTTTCCATTAAAAATCAACATAGCCCTGGCCGGTTTGGCTCAGCGGTCAGAGCGTCGGCATGTGGTCCAGAGAGACCCGGGTTCGGTTCCCGCTAAGGGCATGTACCTCGGGTGCAGTTTGTACCCGGCCCTGGTTGGGTCGTGCAGGTGGCAGCCACTTGATGTGTCCCTTTACGTCGATGTTTCTCTCTCTCCCTCTCTCACTCCCACTCTATCTGAATAAAAATTGGAAAAATGTCCTCAGGTGAGGATTTAAAAAAAAAAAAAATCAACATAGACTAATATGGAAGATATGTAAAAAACCCATGGGTTTATAAATGTGAGTTTTTTTTATTCATCAAAAATTCAGAAGTACTGGTTCTGGCCAGGTAGCTCAGTTAACTGGAGCACTGTCCCAATACATCAAGGTTGTGGGCTCAATCCCTAGTCAGGGCACATACAAGAATCACCAATAAATGCATAAATATGCCCAGCCGGTATGACTCAGTGGTTGAGCATCAACCCATGCACTAAGATTGGTCGCTGGTTCGATTCCCAGTCAGGGCACATGCCCAGGTTGTGGCCAAATCACCAATGGGGGGCATGCAGGAGGCAGCCAATCAATGCTACCTCTCATCAACGTTTCTCTCTCCCCCCCACCTCTAAAAATAAATAAAGAAAAAAATACATAGCCCTGGCCAGTTTGGCTCAGCAGTTAGAGTGTCAGCCTGCGGACCAGAGAGTCCCACGTTCGGTGCCCGCTAAGGGCATGTACCTTCGCTGCAGTTTGTCCCCGGCCCCGGATGGAGTCGAGTGGATGGCAACCAGTTGATGTGTCTCTCTCTCCCTCTTCCTTCCTCTCTCCCTCCCTCTCTATCTGAAGATAATGCAAAAATGTTCTTAGGTGAAGATAAAAAAAAAAATGCATAAATAAGTGGAAGAAATCGATGTTTCTTTCTCTTTCTCCCCCTCTCCCCTACCTGTCTCTCTGAAATCAGTAAATGAACATTTATTTATTTATTTATTTATTTTTTTATCCTCACCCGAGGATATTTTTCCATTTTTTGTACAGATAAAGTGGGAGGGAGAGAGAGGAAGGGAGAGAGAGAGAGAAACATCGACGTGAAGGGACACATCGAGTGGCTGCCACCCGCACGACCAACCAGGGCCGGGGACAAACTGCAACCGAGGTACATGCCCTTAGCGGGAACCGAACCCGGGTCTCTCCGGACCGCGGGCCGACGCTCTAACCGCTGAGCCAAACTGGCCAGGGCAGTAAATGAAAATTTAAAAAGAAAAAATAATTTTAAAAATTCAGAAGTACTGAAAAGGTAAAATAACATCTCCTATGGGGAATTTGGCTTTCAAGTACATAGGAAACTCAAGGCCAGCCACTTAAAAAATAAGAAAAAGACAACTAAATGCTTCAATCCTCCTTGCCCTCCATCTTTCCATTTTGAATACACCAGCTGCCAGCCACATAATAGAGCCCAATACTGTGTAACACAAACCAGAATGAGCTCCAAAGTGTTTTTTGAAAAACAAACATGAATAACAGTTACCATTTCAACCTCTAACTGCTAGTGACCAACAGAAGAACCAAAAGGACTTCAAAAATAACATAAGAATTCAATTCCCTGATCCCAAATAGATACACACATTCTCTGGGGCTGACCTGTGAAATGAAAGCCATTTGACATTGTCACAGAGAACCACCCCTGATGTCATAAGCAGCTCCGCAAAGTGCAATGTGTCAATCCCTTCCTCTTCATGCTTCTGAAACTGCAGTCCTGAATTTGCAAGGAGATCTATGGAATCCTGGGAGTACATGTCCTCTCTAAAAAAGAAGGGGTTCACTTCTTAGCTGATGGATAATGTAACAGAAGTGGTGGGTAACAGTATTATCACTCTATCACAGAACAAGTCGTCTTGAAATGCATTCATAATTTAAGAATAGACCAATTCATTGTTTCCAATATTCCAGCAAGCATGCAAAGCAGATGATCTTATCTCTATAACAGATACAAAAATGGGATTTCCCCCATAAAATGAATGTCCTAACTATAAAATATCCATATTTTGTCATTGTTTAAAGAAAAACAAAATCGCCCTGGCCGGTTTGGGTCAGCAGTTGGAGCGTTGGCCTACGGACCAGAGAGTCCTGGGTTTGGTTCCCACTAGGGGCATGTACCAAAAAAAAAAAAAAAAGAAAAAGAAAAATAGAATCAACCAAAAATATATGTATATATTTCAAATAGAAGAAAATGAAAAAACAGTAATGTTCTTATAATGCTACTCCATAGAAATAACTATTAACAACTCTGTTTGTATATCCTTGCAGATTATTTTCTCTGCCTACACTTACACACCTCCCTCCGTACATCTATATGTCACAGTTCATCTTTCCAGTCAATACTCAGACATCCACAGCCTTTGTAACTTTGGTATAATATTTCACTGTAAAGATATATCCCTTAATCTAGACACAGCATATTTAGAACTAACACAAAAGTGGGAAAATAACTTATTTTCCACTAGGTTTCACTGTTTTCCTTTTTTTTTTCCACGTAAATTTAGGCGAGATGTCTAGAAAGAAAACCACCATAATTTATTTTTTTCCACTAAATTAAAACCAGTGTTGGATTACAGTCTTCTGTTCTACCTCAAATAAACATTATTTTAAACATATACACAAACCCTGCAATAAAAAGGTTGCATTATTTTGCATATTATATTATCATTCTAGAAAAAATAACAGGCTTTGGCAATGGCTTAGAAAAATATAGTTAAAGGAAAGATCCAGATTATCTCTCCAAATTATTCTTTGAAACTCAAAGAAATCTCTAAACACCGGGACAATAAAATTATTCCTGAGCTATCAAATACTCCTGATGTCTAGTTAAACAAAGCAGTATTAAGTAACTGTAGCCTAGCCCTGGCCAATGTGGCTTAGTTGGTTGGAGCATCGTCCCATACACTGAAGAGTGGCAGGTTCAATTACCGGTCAGGGCACACACCCAGGTTGTGGGTTTGATCCCCAGTCGCAGTGCGTAGGGGAGGCAGCCAATCAATGTTTCTCTTACATTAATGTTTCTCTCTCTCTCCCCTCTTCCTTCTTCCCTCTCTCTAAAATGAATGGAAAACATATCCTTGGGTAAGGATTAAAAAAAAAGAACTGGAGCCTAATAAATACACTAACATCACCTCAAACAATCAGCAAAACAATAGTCTTCCCTCAATTTTCCCCTTAAAAATTACATTATCCTCATATGATCTAGCAATCATATTTCTGGACATATATCCACAAGAATTGCAAACAGGGTCTTGAAGAGATATTTGCATATCCATGTTCATAGCAATACTATTTACAATAGTATAGGGATGGAAAGAACCCATATGTCCATCAATGGATGAATGGATAAACAAAATGTAGCATCTACATACAATGCAATATTTTTCAGTTTTAGGAAGGAAATCCTGCCACATGCTACAACATGGGCGAACCTTGATGACTGTATACTACGTGGAATAAGCCAGTCATAAAACAACAGATACTATAGGATTCCACTTAAACAGAAAGTAGAATGGTGATTTTATTATTTCATAGGTATTGTTATTTAATAGTTATAAAGTTTCAGATTTGCAAGATGAAAAAGTTCTGGAGGTCTGTTCCACAACAGTGTAAAGACAGTAAAATGTATTTTTAAAAATTACATCAAAATTTTCCCACTACTAGTGAAGTTTCAGTTTCAACTACCTTTGATTAGTACCCACTCTATACCTTATTTTTTATTATAAAAGATACTAATAACCCGCTTTTACAGATAACTGACTTACAAAAGAGAAAATAACTAACCCAAAGTCAACCAGTGAAGAAACAGCAGAACTTCAATCCAAACACCGATCTCTTAACTGGGAAACTGACTTGACTTTCATTTAAATACCTTTATTGAGATTTAATTCACATACTAAACAATTTATTCATTTAAAGTATACAATTCAATAGTTTTAGTAAAGCACAGATTTGCAACCACCACCACCATCAGTTATAAACGGTTTCATCACCTCAAAAAGAAACCCTGACCCATTAAGCAGTCACTCCCCATTATCCCATAACCTTCCCACCCTGCTCTATTTTATTTTATTTTTTTGTGGTACGTGCCCCTAGCGGGAACTGAACCCGGGACCCGCTGGTCCGCAGGCCTACGCTCAACTGCTGAACCAAACTGGCCAGGGCCCACCCCGCTCTAGAAACCACTAATTTACTTTCTGTCTCTATAGATGTGCCTATTTTGGACATCTCAAATAAACAGAATCATATATGTGGCCTTTTGTGTCTGGTTTCTTTCCCTTAGCATGTTTCCAAAGTCCATCCATATACAGCATATATCAGTACTTCATTCCTTTTTACTCCTCTACTGATTCAACTCCATGAATATACAGTTTAATTTATCAATTTGTCACTTCACAGATATTTGGATTGCTTCAACTTTTGGACCTTTATTAATAATGTTTCTATGAACATTCACATACAAGTTTTTGCATGGATGTATGTTTTCAAATCTCTTGGACATATGCCTATGAGTGGAATTGCTGGGTAATATGGTAACTCTGTTTAACCTGTTGAACAGCCAAACTGTTTTCCAAAGAGGCTGTACCATTTTACATTTCCAATAACAATGTATGAGTATTCTAATTTCTCCACATCCTTACCAACCTTTCTCTGTTTTATTATAGCCACCTAGTGGCTGTGAAGTGGTATCTCACTGAGGTTTTGATCCACATTTCCCTAATGACATAATTGTGAGCATCTTTTCAGGGGCTTATTAGCCATTTGTGTATCTTCTTCCAAGAAATGTCTATTCCGATCTTTTGTCCGTTTTTAATTAGATTATTTGTCTTTTTATTGTTGACTTGTAAAAGTGCTTTAAGAGGAACTTTACTTTCTGAGATTCTTTATTCCATCCTCTGCTTGACTGCTCCATCCAACCCTTACCTGGGTTTGGTGGAAACAAAACTTAAAATTAATAAATTCAGTTAGAAATCACAGTCTGCACAAATGTAGCAAGTCTAAGAATAACATGCAGAAATGTCTCACTTACGTAAGGTTGAATTTGAAGTTGAACTGCCAAGTGTTGATTCCAGAAGGATATTCTCCCTTCTCATTTGTGAATGTAAGGCCCAGCTGGATAATTTTTAAAAGGTCAACATTGCACCGTAAAAGCTGATACTGGTAATCTATGGAACTACGAAATTCACCAATTGGCCGTACCACAACACCTGGAAATTCTGTGTCCTGGAAAAGAAAACAGTCTCTCTTCATAAGGTTTCACAAAATAATGGATGCTGAATTGATCATTCATAAAAAAATTTTTACCTCAATTTATAAAAGTTATATGACAAGCTCCAAGGTTGGGCAGAAAAATCTATCTTAAATTACTGACCCTGCTGACACCTGCAGAAGTACTAAAATCATGAAGCTTTGCACAACTTGGAGATCCTACGCAGGATGTGAATAGAAGTAGGTGACTAACTATAGGTAGATATATAGGCAAACAAGAGCATTTTAAGTTGAGAACAACATATGAATAAAAAATACAGAAAGAGGAAAGTGAAAATGTCATTCAGAAAAAAACAATAAATAGCCATGTCTGGCTTGAGTGAAAAGAACAAGATCATAAAGCATAATAAACACCAGGCTAAAGATTTAATTCTATCATCTCTACAGCAGGAGTCAGAAACTCCAAGCAGCTCCTGCGAAGGAGTAAAGCAAACAGGGTATGAAATGGTTATGAGTTATGGGGCTTACATGCCTCCTCTAAAAGAGACCCTCAGTATCACCATGACACATATATCTCCCCTCTTCAGCCACTCAATGTCAGGCAGGAATGTGGCCCAATATTGCCACATTTTTCCAATTTTTCCAGAAATGGCAAAAAATCTGGAATTTAGAAAGAACACAGACCCAGCCAGAGGAGAGAGAGGCTCAATCTTATCCAAATCTGTTTTCCTGAGATCGTTTTGGAAACATGTCTGAAATGCCCGAGGTCAGGGAACAGGAGGAATTTAATGTCCCCAGTACGCGGGTTCTGATTACCGGTGCCACTGGGCTTCTTGCCGGAGCTGTGCATAAAGAGTTTCAGAATAACTGGCATGCCGTTGGCTGTGGTTTCAGAAGAGCAAGACCAAAATTTGAGCATGTGAATCTCTTGGATTCTAACGCAGTTTATCGCATCATTTATGATTTTGCGCCCCATGTCATAGTACATTGTGCAACAGAGAGGCCAGATGTTGTAGAAAATCAGCCAGATGCTGCTGTTCAACTTCATATGGATGCTTCTGGGAATTTAGCAAAGGAAGCAGCTGCAATTGGAGCATTTCTAATCTATATTAGCTCAGATTATGTATTTGATGGAACAAATCCTCCTTACAGCGAGGAAGAAATACCAAGTCCTCTGAATCTGTATGGCAAATCAAAATTAGGAGAAAAGGCTGTGCTGGAGAACAATTTAGGAGCTGCTGTTTTGAGAATTCCTGTTCTGTATGGAGAAGTTGAAAAGCTAGAGGAAAGCGCCGTGAAGGTAATGTTTGATAAAGTGCAGTTCCGCAACAAGTCGGCCAACATGGACCACTGATAGCAGACGTTCCCCACACATGTCAGAGACGTAGCCACCATGTGTCACCAGTTAGCAGAGAAGAAAATGCTGGATCCATCGATTAGGGGAACCTTTCACTGGTCTGGCAATGAACAGATGACGAAGTATGAAATGGTGTGTGCAACTGCAGACGCCTTCAGTCTCCCCAGCAGTCACTTATGACCAATAACTGACAGTCCTGTTTTAGGAGCCCAACGTCCAAGAAATGCTCAGCTTGACTGCTCCAAATTGGAGACCTTGGGCTTTGGTCAGCGAACACCATTTCGAATTGGAATCAAAAAATCACTCTGGCCCTTCCTCATTGATAAGAGATGGAGACAAATGGTCTTTCACTAGTGTAAACGAAGCTTTTGCAATAGTGGAATCGTGTAAAGAAACGAAGGTCAATCACGCCTTACTTGACATAGTGATGTTTCTTTCTTTCATTTTGTTTGTCCTGGCTTCAGTTGCTGTTGGGAGTATAGTGATTACGGTTCTTCAATATTTGTGAGCCAGGATGAAATAGACCTGCTGTAGATTTCTTTGGGAGGCAGGGAGATGAAACGCATTGTTCATTCCTCTGACCTCTACATTTTTAGGACTATTGCAACCGCTGACCCTTTTCTCTTTTAACATGTTAAATAGTATGAAAATCATTGGTGTTTATTATTTGCTTTGCTTAAGCTCAGATCAAAATGTTTGAAGAAAGAAACTTTATTTTTGCAACTTAAGTACAGTTTTTATGCTTGAGATACTTCTTCATGTTATGTATATTGGAACTTCTGCAGCCCAAGGCCTCCTGCTTCTGTAGCAGTGCTCAGTGAACACTCCAGAGAGTATGTGTGTATGTGTCTGTATTTTTAAAATATATATAACACTGTCCTTTTCACTCCATGTCCCTAAGTGATATTTCATATGTGTGGTTCTACAAATAATAATGGGCCTTGTAAGTCTTTTGACCGTTCATGAATAATAATAAATATGTACCGCTGGCATGCTTAAAAAAAAAATCTGGAATTTAAGTAAAGTCTCTTTATAGTTTAAATGCTGTCAACTAATTTTTAAAAATTGTTTTAAACACTATACAATTTACCATATCTGTGAGACAAATATGCCCTATAGGCTGACATAATTCTGCTGTAAAGACTTTCAAACACAGCCCTGGCCAGTCTTGCTCAGTGGTTAGAGCATTGGCCCATGGACCAGAGAGTCCTGGAATCAGTTTCCGCTAAGGGCATGTACCTAGGTTACAGTTTGTCCCTGGCCCCAGTTGGGGTCCTGTGGGTAGCAGCCATTCGATGTGTCTCTCTCACATCGATGTTTCTCTCTCTCTCTTCCTTCCTCTCTCCCTCCTGCTCTATCTGAAAATGAATGCAAAAAAAAAAAATGTCCTCGGGTAAGGATTAGAAGGAAAAAAAAAGACTTTCAAACACAGAGTAACATTACAAACCATCTAAGACACTAAAGGTTACATCCTTCTCAGGCATACTGGCTACCTTGATACTTCACAAAAGCAATATAACCTTCTATCATGTTTAATGTGCCATCACTTTAGTGTAATCATATATTTCAAAATCTCATATTAAATATTCCCCAAGTCCATACCAGAAGGCTAGTCAAAAGAGTAGAGTAGAGCTCTTTACCATGGCAATATAACTGTAACTGAGCACAATTTCTCGGATCTTCCTCATCTCTTCTTCTAGATTGCTGGCCCAGACTTCACAGATAACCTGGCTGTTCTCCACAAGTGCTGCAGGCATCCTGAAGAAACTTGAGAAGTCGCTTTCAGCTGACTATGATAGAGGGCAAGTCAATGGTTGATCTGATCTAGATTCAAAAATATATTTTGCAATCACGTAAATGTACACACTGGCATAAGATGTGTCAATTTAACAAAGGCATCAAAACAATATTTTATCATCACTTCACCAGTTTAGGCTAAAACACTGAGACTATTATACTATTTTCTATACACACACACACGCGCGCACACACACACACACACACTGAGTACTTTAACCTAAAGAAATTAAAATTATTAAGAAACTTTTGCCCAAGCTTCCCTTTAGCGCAGAAGTGAAATCACTACCCTAAACCAGTTTTCAGCCCTCTCCAGAATACCTACAGACTGAAATTAGTCCCGTGTCCACAAATATGCCCTTATCGGTAACTTTCACAGCACTCTACTGAGACCAAACCATGGGAACATTTCTAAAGGAATCACTTTAGCCAGTTTAAATGTACCTGGGATCTCTAAAACCCTGAAAGAATGTGGACCTAAATTCTCACACTTAAGTCCTTACACCTATTTGATGAATATGGGTGTGGGACTCCCCTTTTGCCCCCCCCAAAAAGAGAAATTCTTTTTTCCCTACAATTCAAATAGAAGTAGAGGCAATTAACTAACTTAATATAGTGCCTCTTTAGATTTGTGCAAATAGCGATTTAAGTGGTAAAACACTTGCTAATTTCAACCTTAACGACCACAAGAACAATTTGAATTTAAGTTATTAATGTCTACTTTTAAACATGTAATATTGTAAAGAAACCAAGCAGCAATTCAACAATAGTGACAGAAGATATAATTCAACCAAAACTAGAATGATTTATGGTATATATTCTGGGAGGAAATTGGGTAGGGGACTATATTCTGCAAGATAAAACTCAACATGGTTCAGCCTCAGAGTAATGCTGTTATTTTATTTTAAACTCAACATGAGATGCTTAGTTATAAAAATAGTAAAAGGAGTCCAGCTGGTGTGGCTCAGTGGTTGAGCGTCAACCCATGCACCAAGAGGTCACTGGTTCGATTCCCAGTCAGGACACACGCCCAAGTTGTGGGCCCAGTCCCCAGTTAGGGGCATGCAGGAGGTGGCCAATAGATGTTCTCTCTCTTTGATGTTCCTCTCTCTCTAAAATCAATAAAGGAAAAAAAAATTTTTTTAAAAAACTAGAAGGAGCCCAGCCAGTGTGTTTTAGTGGATTGAGCTTCATCCCATGGATTAAAGTCAGAGCACATGCCTGGGTTGCAGGCTCAATCCCAAGCAGGGGGCGTGCAGGAGGCAGCCAACAGATGTTTCTCTCTCACATCAATGTTCCTATCTCTCTCTCCCTTCCTCTCTCTCTAAATATTTTTAATTTTTTTCCTTTATTGATTTTAGAGCGAGAGGGAGGAAGAAAGAGAGAGAGAGAGAAATGCCAATGAGAAAGAACATCGACTGGCCGCCTCCTACATGCCCCACACTGGGGATTGGGCCCACAACCTGGACATGTGTCCTCACCAAGAATCAAATCAGCGACCTCTTGGTGCATGGATCGATGCTCAACCACTGAGCCACACTGGCCAGACTGAAAAATCAATTTAAAAAAAAAGACTAGCCCTGGCCGGTTTGGCTCAGTAGTTGGCACGTCGGCCTGTGGACCAGAGGGTCCTGGGTTCGGTTCCTGTTAAGGGCACATACCTTGGTTGCAGTTTGTCCCAGCCCCGGATGGGGTCATGTGGGTAGCAACCACTCGATGTGTCTCTCTCACATAGATGTTTCTTTCTTTCTCTTCCCCCCTCTCTCCGTCCCTCTCTATCTGAAGATAAATGCAAAAATGTCCTCGGGTAAGGATAAAATAAAATTTTAGAAAGACTAGAAGGAGGTTATTATAAGGGCATTTACTTAAAAGGCAACCCCACCACATGGATCCTCAACACAATGTAAGAGTGGGAGCCAATGTATATATTCAGGGGGAAATACCTAGAGACAGTAAAATGCACGAGTGTCTTCCAACGGACAGAACAAGAAAAATCTTTGCTTTCTACATTCAAGATACAGTAAGAATCTGGAAAATAAAATTGGCATTCTTAAATGTCATTATTTCTCTGAGAAATTTCTAGGAAACCAATCTGTTAGTTTGTCAGCAACCCTCAAAGATTCCATTTATTTAAGGCACCCTATACTTCGAGATGTTTCTCTGAAATCACAGCAAACTTTCTATAAGTACTCTGAAATTTAAGGAGACTGGTATCTTCCTAAAAATGTAGGTGGACACTCCTTAAAGGCAGATCCATTCTTGTCATTTTTATTCTGTACACAATGAGCATGAATGAAAGGTTTGCAAATGAACAAATAAAGAATATCAGAAAAGGGCAGAAGTTCGGACTAAATGTGGGTAGACTTTACTACTGATCATAATTAAGAAAATGTCAGGACTCACAATTCTAAGCCATGCGTAAGGTTTTCCTTAGCAAAAGGGCTTTAAACCATTTCTATGCTCATTAATGTTGAACCAGGACCACTTAGCTTCCTTATTTCCCTAACTGAAACAATTTACTTTTTGGTGTCATTTCAAACACAACTATAAATTACTTCAGGGAAAGTGAGGATCATTCCTGTAGATGTTTCCATAAAAGCAAAAGCAACAAAAGGGACTCAAGCAAAAAAATGACTTTGGCATCCAAGCAGCAAAGAGCAGGCTTTAAAAAAGGACAACTAGATATTTATATCAAACCCTTAGAACCAGGCTCCCCAGCTAAGACACTCTTACGGTTGTGTCAAAAGAACTCAAGAACAATTTGAAGAGGCTCCCTCTGGTCAAAGACAGTATGAACATCATTATGGATAATTACCACAACTTATTAAAACGAAATCAGATAGGTTTATATCCATGAGTTCATAATGAACTAAGAAATAAACTTAATTGGTCACCAATGGAGAATGCTAGTGAATCAATTTATTTTTAAAATTGTATATGGTCTTTCTGATATAAACTGAACCTCGAAGAAACCAAACAGCTGAAGGTTTCTCTTCAGAGAAGTTATACAGCTAACAAATGAATACAAAATCACCACTTTGCAATTCCTAATGAATAATCATAATGGCATTATTATTATTATTTTTTTTTATCCTCACCCGAGGATACTTTTCCATTCATCTTCAGACAGAGGGAGAGAGAGAGAGAGATCGATGTGAGAGAGACACAACAACTGGCTGCCTCCTGGCAAGACCCCGATCAGGGCTGGAGAGGAACCGCAACCAAGGTACGTGCCCTTGACCGGAATCGAACCCAAGACTCTTTGGTCCACAGGCCAACGCTCTAACCGTTCAGCCAAACTGGCCAGGGTTAATAATGGCATTTATATGGAATAAGCAGAAAAGGCAAATATATAAACACAGAAAGTAGACTACAGTGGTGGGATGGGAACAGGAATGGGGATTAACAGAAAATGGGCATGAGGGATCTTACTGAGGTGATGGAAATGTTCCCAAACTAAATTAAAATGATTGCACAACTCAGTACATTTATCAAAAATCACTGAACTCTACAACGAAATGGGCAAGTATTATAACATGCAAATTATACCCCAATAAAGCTGTTAAAATAATCACAATGGCTGTTATCACAAAAAGAGACAACAAGGTATTATATGCCTCTTGACAAAATACATCACCACTCTGAAATAGTCATGCACCACTTAAGGAGAGTATGTCTGAGAAATGCATCACTAGGCAATTTCATCATTGTGCAAACATCACAGAGTACACTTACACAAAGCTAGAAGGCATAGTCCACTTCATACCTGGCTATACAGTATATAGCCTGTTGCTCCCATGCTACAAACCTGTACAATACATTACTGTACAAAACGACACAGTAAGTACAAAAAGTACCCTCTTAAATAAGTGTAAAAAGTATAGTAAGTATATAACTAGTAATACAGTCATTATAATTATCAAGTAATATGTATAATCCTCATCAAGGATATGTTTTTATTTATATTTTTATTTTTTAAATAAGCTTTACTGAATTTTTAAAGAGAGAGGAAAGGTGAGAGATAGAAACATTGATTGGCTGCCTCCTACACACGCCCTACTGGGGATTGAGCCCACAACCGGGGCAGGTGCTCTGACTGGAAATCAAAGCGGGACTTCTCAGTCCATGGGACAATGCTCAATGCACTGAGCCACACCGTCTGAGCCTGTTTTCATTGCTTGAGAGAGAGAGAGAGAGAGAGAAACATCGATGTGAAAGAAACGTCGAATGGTTGCCTCCCACATGTACCCCAACTAGGAATTGAATCCGCAACCTTTTGGTGCATGGGATGACACTCCAACCTAGCCACCTTGCCAGGGCTCTATGTTATCCATTTATATGACTGGCAGTGCAGTAGGTCTGTTTACACCAGCATCACCCCAAACATGTGAGTAATGTGTTTCACTTCAGTGTAATGCCAGCCATGACATCACTAGGCAATAGAAAATTTTCAGTTCCCCTATAATCTTATAGGACCACTACAGTATATGCAATCCATTGTTGAACCAAAAATGTTATGCTTCACATAACTGTAGTTTTACACACAAAAAAAAATTTTGAATCTGACCACATCTCTAGATATAACTATCAATTTACAGGAAATATAGAGGACAGAGGGACATGTTAAATAACACCACAAAAACGCAATCAGCATCCTTGCTGGGTAGGTCAGTTGGTTGGAGCATCATCTCAATATGCCCAGGTTGGGGGTTCACTTTCCGGTCAGGGTACATTCAAGTCAGCCAATGAATACATAAATAAGCAGAACAATAAATCGATGTTTTAGAGAAAAAGAAATGCAATCAGTAAATTCAGAAACTACTGTAGAAATCTAAAGAAGCACCCACACCCGGCTGGTGTGCTTCAGTGGTTGAACACTGACCCTCGCACTAAGAGGTCACCGGTTCAATTCCCGGTCTGGGCACATGCCCAGGTTATGGGCCCAATCTCCAGTCGGAGGCATGCAGGAGGCAGCCAATCAACGTTCTCGCTCATCGATGCTTCTCTCTCTCTCTCCCTTCCTCTCTCTAAAATCAATAAAAAATAAAAATAAAGAACCACCCAACTTCTTCAACAAATTGCAAAAAAATTAAAGTAAAAAACTCGCCCTGGCCAGGTAGCTATTGGTTAAAGCATCATCCCATATGCCAAAGTTGCAGGGTCGATCTCCAGTCAGGGCACATAGAAGAAGCAATCAATGAATGCATAAATAAGTGAAACAACAAATCTATGTTTTTTTCTCTCTCTCAAGTCAATAAATAAATTTTTAAAAAGTTATTTAATAGCCCTGGCCGGTTTGGCTCAGCGGTTAGAGCATTGGTCTGCGGTCCAGAGAGACCCAGGTTCGGTTCCTGCTAAGGGCACGTACCTTGGTTGCAATTTGTCCCGGGCCCTGGTTGGGTTGTGTGGGTGGCAGCCATTCGATGTGTCCCTTTCACATCAATCTTTTCTTTCTTTCTTTCTTTCTTTCTTTCTTTCTTTCTCTCTTTCTCTCTTTCTCTCTTTCTCTCTTTCTCTCTCTCTCTCTCTTCCCCCCTCCTACTCTATCTGAACAAAAAGTGGAAAAATGTCCTCGGGGAGGATAAAAAATAAATAAATAAAAATAAAAGACTAACGTTCTTTTCTAAATGTAGAATTGAAAAAAAAAAGTTATTTAATAAAAGACTCAGTAGACACATCAACCAATCAAAATGTATAGGCCTTAGTTGGATCCTGCTTTCAACAAACTATTGGTCGGGGTGGGAACTACCACATTTTTGAGACCATTAGAAGTCTGAACAATGACTGACTGGTTTTTCTTTTTTGTTTTGGGATCTTGTGAGGATCCCCCCCCCCTTTTTTATTTTTGGTGTTACATTATATTGTGGTTATGGTTTTTAAAAGAGAGTCTTTATCTTTTAGAGATAATGCAAAATATTGGTGATTGACACTAAATACGGGTTCTGCTTCAAAATAACAGTGGAGAAAACACTTCACAACTTTGTACAATGCTGTCTTCCTCTAAATTTTACAGATAAGACACTGAAATCCAGAGACATTAATTTAAAAAGGCAGCATCATGCCCTGGCCAGATGGCTCAGTTGGTTAGAGAGTTGTCCCATACACCAAAAGGTTGTGGGTTCCATTCTGGTCAGGGCACATACTTAGGTTGTGGGCTGGATCCCTGGTTGGGGTGCCAATGGGAGGTAAATGATCGATGTTTCTCACATTGATTTCCTCTCTCTTCTTCTCTCTCTTCAAAAAAAAAAAAAAAAAAATCAATGAAAGTTTATCTTTGGGCAAGGATTTTTAAAAAGGTAGCATCATGATTTCCATTTCTAAGAAAAAGAATAATTTTTAAAAAGCTAACCACTGTTAAAAATCTAACCATTGTTATACATACCTGACAAATGGGGAACACAAAAGCAGACTACTGGCAAAACTATGTAAGACATTCTTGCAACAAACCCTTATCTAAGAAAATTGTTGGGAAACAGACAATAGCTGGCAAGCCCCTAAATGTAGTGCCACTCAAAAATTGAAGAGGAATCATATTATGCACATTTACCTCAGCATAAATCACTAAATATGCTAGCCAAAACAATAAATGATAATAAATAATGGCAGCAATTCTGCCTGCCACTTTCCATTCAGTGAGGACATGCTCCAGAATGAGCCTAAGATGGGAACCACAAACACACTGCTCCTCTTGGTAGTCTTCCTCCTTTTAAGCCTCTCAGTGTCTGCATCTCAGAGTACTTCACAGTGCAGAATGACTGTGCCCTTCATTTATCTGTATTTGCCTAACACAGTCCCTAAAGGTAACCTAAGTACTTTATCTGTTCACAACCAAAGAAAGAGTAACAAGTTTCATAGCTGAAGGAAAAACTGAGCCTGCTGGATTTACTCAGAAACAGTCCTGCCATCTCCAACTTTGCAACTTCCTAAGGAATTTTTAAGGATGAATTTGATCACATGTAATGTTTGCCTCATAGGCTGACTTTAAAACGACTCCACATGAGCTACTCCACTCCCTATGAAAGCAAAAGACAAGCACCGATACCTGTTGTTCCCCAGCACTAGACTGTGCAGAGTAAAAGGTCTCTCTCGGTCTCTCTCGGTCTCTCTCGGTCTCTCTCTCTCTCTCTCTCTCTCTCTCTCTCTCTCACACACACACACACACACGCACACACACGAATACGTGAGGTTCCTGCCCTGGGCTGATCTGTAGTACATTCTGTTCACATCGTTCCTGACGCCCTACAGTGTAAAACAACTCCAAAACAAAGCTCCTTGTTTACCCAGAAAAGCTCTGAAGAACAACTAATGATACAACCACCTGAAAGCTTTCTCCGCAAGCAATCCAGAGCAAGCTTGGCAAAAGAAGGTTTGGCTTTTCTGGTTTTGTTTTAAGCCTGTGTGTGCAAGAAAACAAGAAACATCACACACCCCTGTTAGGGGGCTGAACAAAGGCTTTGCAGCGCATGCATAAGATGAAAAAGGAAGCAGAAGTACGTTAGAAGAGATGGCAGCAACCTGGAAGCGGGTCGTCTCTACAAACGACCAACGGTGGTCGCCGCCGTCTTCCCCGCCTCTCCTCCACCCCACCCCACCCCAAAAGTGTCGGAAGACACTACCCTGAACTGAACAGCAGTAAAACCATCCACGGGGCCCAGGCCTGGGAGCTGGCTCCTCCAGAGCAACCGCTCCAGCTCAGAAAGACACAGGACGGCAGGGACAAGTTGCGGGGCCACAAGAACCGAGAAGGGGAAGCCTGCAAGGTTCCCAGCGCAGGTCCTTCCTCCACACAACCTCCCGTCCCCGTTCTCTTCCCGTTCTGGACTACCCACCCACTTCACACTCATCCTTCCCTCCTCCCCCTCCTCCTCCTCAACTCTCCTCCCTTTTTCTGCAGAGCAGTTAACACGCACGGGCCTCAGGGGCAGACGGACCTGAGTCCGAAGCCACACCGACTAGCTCCAGGACTCTGCATGAACTGCCTAACCTCTCTCAATGCCTCAGTTCTCCTATCGTAGAAAATGGCTTTAATAACAGTGTACACCTGGGAAGACTGCAGTAGAGGGTAAATAGAATGAAGCATATTTACGACGCTTTGTCAAGTCTCGGCTCACATCACCAGAACAGCACTGTCCTGTGGTGGGAGTTGTTATATTACTACTGTTCTGTGGGCCTCCTTGTCTCACACTCCCTGCCTCTCCACACGCCCCACTCCCCTTCCTCCCTCAGGCCCAGATGGCCTCCCACACTCTCTCGTCTCACGTTCCGCTCTGGGAAGCGCGGGCCGCTTACCCTGACAGGCAGGGCCCGCGAGAGCTGACGGGCTGGCGGGCGGACTCCGCGGGAGCGGCGGTTGCGGCCCCTGACCCGGTGCTCTCCTCCCTCTACCCCGGATCTGCAACTAGGATCGAGCGGGCCAGTGAGATGGGCGCTCTCGTACCCAGAGCGGCCTTACGCACCGCCCACCAAACACTGGCAGCACCACTCTACCCACCTTATCCTCCCAACTCGCCTGCTCTCTTCGCGTCACTCCCGACGCGCGCGCGCGCCAGACCGTGCCTACTCCTCCCCTTCTGCGCGCCCCAGCGATTCCATACGAAATCGCCCAACCGGTGAGCTCGCGGGAGCAAGCGCGCAAGCGCAAAACTAAGAGGGCGCCGCTAAAATGGCGGGGCGGAGTGGCCTCGGAGGACGCATGCGGAACACGGCCAGTCCTAGGCCTTCGCGAGATTAGTCACGCGGACTCAATTTAATCTTGATCGCTACTCCTCCATTTTGGTTCTCCCTCCCTGTGCCCGGGGCAGGAGCATGGTCTAGAATTAGACCCCCCCTCCTTGGTGGGCGTGGCCTACATGGGCCAAAGGACGGGACCCGCGAGACTAAACCCCAAATTACAACGCCTTCTCCTCCCCGCTTTGAAGGACCTTCAGTTCTTTGGTAGAAGCCGACTTTGGGGAAGATTGATGGGGCGCGATCCTGACACTTCACTCGGTGCTAATGCGCCCCCCTGGACCCCTCACAAAGCATCTACCTCACGGCCTCCTTCCTGGGAAACAGTTACGGGTGGAGACTGCACCCCCAGCCCGATTGTGGGTGACGTCCGCCGAGGCCCGCCTCCCTCCTTCAGCCTATAGAAGCCGGCGAACAACGTTACCGTAGCAACGGGCCCACCGGGACCTGCTGGAGTTACGGAGAGGACGCGGACTCCCTTGGGGGAAGCGCCGGTCCAGCGCCGGCGGACGCTAAGCAGGCTCGGCAGACTTTCATTGCGAGGGCAGTGCGGCCCCTACCCGCCCCTGCATTCCCGTAGAGCCTGTGTGGGAAGAAAGCCCTTTGCCAGCGCGGGTCCCTCCCTGGCAGCGTTGAGCCAGGCCGGGGTGCCACGCTGCCTCGTGGCCGCCAGCGGTGGGAGAGAAGACAAAGCCCTGACGTCCTGCACGCGGCCACCAGCTCCCGGTCCCTGGGAGAAGACGTGGACGGCTCGGAGCACGTAACCCCAAGTCACCGGGCCTTCCTACTTTTTTTTTTCTTTTTAATTTATTTTATAAAAAGGAAGCTTATTACTTTCTCCCAAAGGCAGGGAAAGAAGGGCTAGGTGCCACATGGCACAGGGCAACAAAAGATAGGGTGAGTTGCTTTTTAATTGGGCTTTCATGGGGTGGGTGGCTATTAGGGTAAGGGAGGGGATCGTGTTGAAGTTGAACAGATGCCAGTGTTTCTCTTTGAGAAGCCAGTCTCTTTTCTAGGAGACAGTCCACAGACTGTCAAATATGCTTTGGGGCAAAGAAAGTTACTGAGAGTGTAAAAGGGAAATCTTCCCTCAAGGGGTTACAGAGAGCTTCCTACTTTTAAATATTTCCCTCCAAGGGGCGTCTCCAACAACCTACTTACATCCGAGGCTGGGGGCAGGACTGGCATTCGGCAGCAGTTTCAAACTAGATTCCCAAAATCTGTTTTCCAAGGGATGAACCCCGACCCCATCCCCCAGAGTAGAGTAGCAAGTGCACTTTTTGAGCTCCTCTCTCCTACAAATGAGGGTCTGTCTCCCTAATCTGTAACATAGAGATGGGAGTAGCTATCTCACTAGGTGGTTGGCTTAGTAAGTGGAAAAAGCACCTCGCACTGAGGAAAATGTGTGTTTAATAAATCATTGTTTCTGGTGGTCTCAGTTTGTTATCCCTGAGATATTCAAAGTTTGTTCGCTCTGCTGCAGACTTAACACTCGGTCATTCCTTTCTCAACCTGTGGGTCGTGACTCCTTTGGGGGTCGAACGACCCTTTCACAGGGGCCGCCTAAGACGTAACAGTAGCAAAATTACAGTTATGAAGTAGCAACGAAAATAATTTTATGGTTGGGGGTCATCACAACATGAGGAACTGTATTAAAGGGTCACGGCATTAGGAAGGTTGAGAACCACTGCTTTAAGCAATACTGTGATGGAGAAGGCAGGCAAGACACTCCCTTCCCCTTTCCTGGTGGGTTTCTAATATCATTTCACCCACTTATTAGGTTCAGGACAGGACAGCCCTAGCAGGAGCTAGCCACATGAAGAGCAGCCTTCACAATCTTTTCTTGGGATTTTGTTTTTTCCTGCAGCACTCAGGCCTGATGTGCATTGAAACAATGAAGCCGGAAACGTCTTCATCCACCCAAACCCTTCACCCAGAACATAATGTTTATTTCTCAGGTTATTGAAGATAAGCGTAAAACACAGATGTTGGAGTGTTTTGGTGTAAACAATGGATTTTGTTTTGCTCATATGCTGTTTCAAAATTAGAACAAAATCACTGATTCTCTTTGGGAGGAAGGCCCCAAACAAATGAGAGGGCAATTGGAGAATATATTCAATAATATAATTTCATATTTATTTTTTTAAAACTATTGTTTTTGAACTACACAGTATAGAAAGTAAGGCTTAAACATATCTTCTCGGCTGGGAGGGTGTAGATATTTTAAAAATTGAGAAACACTAGCTGTAAAATGGATCTCCTTAAGAACCAATCTGGGTGATATCCTTGGCCAGCCAAGCTTTTCTGTTATTCCCAATTCTAAATAAATCTAACAGGGTGCATTTCTTCAATATGTGTACGAAGATAAAATGTAATAAAGATATTTGGGTTTAAAATATTTTGAAAATGCGGACAAAGGTAAATACGTCCAGGCATTATACCATTGTAAATCACCCTCTGAGCCCACGTCTCAAACAGCTTTGTGTCCCTCAGAGTCCTCACACTTAGATACCTGTCAATTGATTAATTCCATTGTTAGAGTGCTTCCTCCCTCTCCCAAAGTCGCCAAGGTCTGTCGCTTCGCATAATGTTGTCTTTTATCAGGTTATATATTTATCTTTACATTCAACTGAGGAATGTACCCAGCTGGCATTTTTTTCTTTGTATAATTGGGGTTAACTTCCTGCTTTCCCAGTGTGTTACCCTTATTTTTTCTACATAATATAAAAACTTTCTGACTCCTGAAAATTATCAACAGATCATCAAACTTCCCCTAAATGTAAAGCAAATATATTTCATGACTATGCATTTGAATATTATTTTGATCTTTTGATTATAACCTGAAAACCTGATCTCTGATAAGATCAGAGTTCATTTTTTTAAAACCCAGAAGTAGATATCAACTATGTTTTATTCGTATCTCATTTTCTTTGATGTTCCTTCTCAGAGTCCACTAACGTAACATTTCAAAAATCTACCAATAATAATAATAGACCTTCAAACTTCCAAAACTGAGAGGGTCCATAAAGATGTTCTAAATAATGCATTCCCCTAATTTCACAGAAAGTAATTCAGTAATTTCAGGTCACCCAGCTCCCAGAAATAAGACCAGGACTTGAGTCTTCTAATATGAGATTAGGTGTTTATCCAGTTTTGTTTATGGACCATTTGATCTGAGCAGAGCCCCATGTTGACACTGGAGGATGTGCTGGTGAATAAAACAGACATGTCTCCTGGCCTTCGTTAACTTTGGGTGGCAGGGACTGACTATAAAACAAGTAAACAAGCATTGAATGAGAAATAAAAGGATAATGAGACACTTTGATAACTATCTTGATGGAAACTAATGGGGTAAAGTGACAGAATAACTGGATTGGGGGAAAATGGTAGAAATTATTTAGGTCAAAGAAGGCCTCTCTAGGAAGGTGCATTTAAACAGATGAGGACAAGAAGGACTGGACTAGAGAGAGACAGGCATGTGGAATTGGAAGCAGTAAATTTCAGGCAAAGTAAAAGTGAGTTTTGTATGTAAGAAGTGAAAGGAGGCTAGGGCAGCTGCTGAGAAGTGGAGCAAAGGCAAAGTGATTCAAGATGAAGCTGGAGCCCGACCAGTGTGCTCAGCGGTGGTTGAGTGTGGACTCATGTACCAAGATGTCGCCGGTTCGATTCCTGGTCAGAGCACATGCCCAGGTTGTGGGCCAGATCCCCAGTGGGGGGCATGCAGGAGGTGGCCAATCGATGTTCTCTCTCATCAATGTTTCTAGCTCTCTTTCCCTCTCCCTTCCTCTCTCTCTAAAAATCAATAAAGAAAAAAAAAAAAAAGATGAGGCTGGAGAAGAAAACAGACACCAGGTGAGCCAAGGTCTGGGAGGCTTTAAAATTATACTCCTCAAAGGGCATTGGGAAACCCAGGAGGATTTTTCTGCCCTGATTTATGTTGTTGTTTTTTTTTTTTTTTTAATCCTCATCCGAGGACATTTTCCCACTTTTTGTACTGACAGAGTGGGAGGGAGAGAGAGAGACGGAAACATCGATGTGAAAGGGACACATCGAGTGGCTGCCACCCGCACGACCAACCAGGGCCGGGGACAAACTGCAACCGAGGTACATGCCCTTAGCGGGAACCGAACCCGGGTCTCTCCGGACCGCAGGCGGACGCTCTAACCGCTGAGCCAAACCGGCCAGGGCTGATTTATGTTTTTAAAGATTACTTTGACTCCTATGGACAGAGAATGGAGGCAGAGACATTTTACTTTTTTAAAAATTTGAATTATACTGAATTTGATAAAAAGAAAAGCTAGCTTCTCCCAGGCATGGTAAATGTTGCCTATGGACATATTAAGTAACAATTTTGGTAATTTTACTAGGTGATTCTAATGGAGAATTAATTGTCACTATATCCTTTTTATTATTGTTATTGTGGAACTCTCCAAGACTGCTACTTTACAAGGTATTTTACAAAGGATCCCTGCTATAGATCCCTTCCTATAGGTAGGCAAATAAAAATACAGGCCAGTGGCCCTGGCTGATTTGGCTCAGCGGTTAGAGTGTCAACCCACAGGCCAGAGAGTCCCAGGTTCGGTTCCTGCTAAGGGCACATACCTCCATTGCAGTTCATCCCCGGCACCTGTTGGGGTTGTGTGGGTGGCAACCAGTCGATGTGTCTCTCTCGCATCGATGGTTCTCTCTTTTCCTCCTCCTCTCCCTCCTGCTGTATCTGAAGATAAATGCAAAAATGTCCTCAGGAGAGGATAAAAAAAAAAAAAAATACAGGCCAGTAGAGATAAAAGTAAAACTTTTTCCTGTCCATTCTTTTGCCCCTTTTGTATTTCGTATCAGTTGCACATATTGCCTGTTAAAAACTAATTTTTAGAAATTTAAAAACAGCCCTGGCCAGTTTGGCTCGGCAGTAGAGTGTTGGCCTGTGGATCAATGAGTCTTAGGTTGGATTCTGGCCAAGGGTACATACCTCAGGTGTGGTTTGTCCCGGGCCCTGGTCAGGGTCATGCGGGAGGCAACCAAATGATGTGTCCCTCTCATATTGATGTTTCTATCTCCCTTTCTCTCCCTCTTTCTCCCTTCCACTCTACCTGAAGATAAATTTTAAAAAAATATATCCTCAGATGAGGATTAAAGAAAAAAAAATTAAAAACAAAAACTCAGTTCTTTTTCAGACGTGCTTACCAGATGATGTCATGTATCCTGGATCCTAATTTCATTTGTTTCAATCAACATGTAAACACCTCTACAAGAGGGGGTGGTGAGGGGAGGGAAGAGATAAACCACAGAACTTATATGCATGTACAATGGACATGGACAACAAAGCCGGGGACGGGGTGGGGGGATGGGGAGGAGGGTATCAATGGGGTAAAAAAGGAGAAACATCTGTAACAAAAATAAAATGAAAAAGAATAAAAAATAAAAAGAGGAGAGAAAAGCTTGTCAAAAAAATAAAAAAATCTTTTATGCAGTTAAAAAAACAAACTTCACTTCTACTGGTGTCCTTTCTAGACTCACTAGTATTAGCTGACGTACCTCTTCTCCCTTGCCTGCCCTTGGCAACAATAGAAGTAAGAAAAAAGAAAAGAAAATGAGGTCCTCTGGTCCATGTAACCTTTTTATCTATTTGGACTGCCTGCCTTCTGCTCTCCATGTGTCTTACTCAACCTGCCTCCTTCGGGACATTTTAAGTTGAGGAAAATAAAGGAAGTTTTTTTTTTCTTTTTTTCTGAAGGAAGTTTTTAAAAATAAGAAAAAAGGCCCAGAGTTTGGCCAAATGCACTCTTTCAAGCTCCTGCCTAACCTTCCTATTTCCTCTTGGATTTAAGGAAACATCCTTTGATTAGAAGGAAGTATTTTTGTCTCCAGTCCACACAGACCCATACTTTTTTTTCTCTTGTCACATGCCTGGCTCTAGCCAGTAGGCTGCTGTGAAACTTGATCTCTGTGGCCAGTCTCCTGACCCACTTCAGCAACAACAGCAGGGTTTGGTGACAGCAGCGGCCAAGGTAGGGGCTGAAGGTGAAGGAGAAGCAGCTCGGGCTGTGGCTGGGACCTTGGAGGAGCTGGAAAGCAGCCCATTACGGAGGTGAGTGGGAGCTGCTGAGGAAGGAAGCTCTTTGCCACCGTCAAGACCAGTCCAAGCTCATTTACAGTATTTTTTTTTTAATGTTTTTATTGACTTTTTTTTAGAGAGGAAGGGGGAGAGAGACAGAAACATCGATCGGCTGCTTCCTGCACGCCCCCTACTGGGGATCTGGCCTGCAACCCCCAGTATGTGCCCTGACCTGGAATAGTACTGGGACCTCTCAGTCCATGGAAGGATGCTCAATCCACTGAGCCGCACCGGCCGGGTCAGTCCAAGTTCATTGAAAGAAAAGGCAAGCCCTGGACAGGTAGCTCAGTTGGTTGGAGCAAAGTTCCATATACCAAAAAAGGTTGTGGTTCGATTTCGGTCAGGACAAAAATCTAGGTTGCAAGTTTCATCCTGGTCAGGGTGCATAAGGGAGGCAACTGATCCATGTTTCTCTCTCTCTCTCTCCATTCCTCTCTCTAAAAATCAATAAAAATATATCCTCAAATGAGGATTAAAAAAAGAAGGGCAAAGTACATTCTTCTCATCTCTGTCTCTGCCACTTCCTTGTCCTGTACACTTAAGATCTGCGTCTGAGCAATGTCCCAGCATGTTTTCTTCCATCCTTCTTTCCTTCTTCTTTCTTATTAATTTTTTAAAATTTTAAATTGAGTTAAGATTGGTTTATATCATTATATAAATTTCAGGTGTGCACATTATAATTCAGCATCCGTATATACTACATCATGCTCACCACCAAAAGTCTAGTTCCTACCTATCACCATGCAGTTGACCCCCTTTACTGGTTTTGCCCTCTCTCCACCCTCTACCCCTCTGGTAACCAGTGATCTGTTGTCTGCCTCTGTAAGTTTGCTTTTTGTTTATTTTGTTTGTTCATTTGTTTTTGTTTTTATATCCCACATATGAGTGAAATCATGTGGTGTTTGTCTTTTTCCATCTGATTTATTTTACTTAGTGTAATACTTTTTAAAAAATGATTTTATTGACTTTTTAGATAGAAAGGGAGAGAGAGAAACATCGATGTGAAAGAGAAACATCAATTGGCTGCCTCCTGCACGCCCCCTACTGGGGATGGAGCCAGCAATCCGGGCCTATGCCCCCACCAGGAATTGAAGTGGGACCTCTCAGTCCATGGGATGACGCTCAATCCACTGAGCCACACCGACCAGGCTTTAGTATAATACTTTTAAGGTCCATCCCTGTTATTATAAATGGCAGGATTTCATGGCTGAGGATTTTTATGTCTGAGTAGTATTCCATTGTATATATACCACACTATTTTTATCCATTTAGTTGTTGGTGGTCACTTAGGTTGTTTCCATATCTTTTAAAATATTTTTTTAATTTATTGATTTTAGAGAGATAGAGGAAAGAGAAAGAGAGAGAAACATTGATTTGTTTTCCACTTATTTATGCATTTGTTGGTTGATTCTTGTATGTGCCCTGACCAGGAATTGAACCCACAACCTTGGCATATTGGGACCATGCTCTAACTAACTGAGTTACTCAGGGCTATTTCCATATCTCGACTATTGTAAATAATGCTGCAGTGAACACAGGTGTGCATATATCTTTTCATATTAGTATTTCAGTTTCTTCAGATAAATACCCAGAAGAGAAAATAGCTGGGTCTTATGTTAATTTGGTGAATGTTCATACTGTTTTTGACAGTAGCTGCACTAATTTACAACCACACCAACAGTGTTCTCTTTTCTCCAAATTGTCACCAACACTTGTTATTTCATGTCTTTTTGATTTAGCCATTCTAACATGTGTGAGGTAATATCTCCTTGTGGTTTTGCTTTGCATTTCCCTAATAATTAGTGATGTTGGACATCTTTTCATGTGCCTGTTGCCCATCTGTATGTCTTTGCAAAAATGCCTATTCAAATTCCTTCCCATTTTTTATCTGGGTTTTTGTCGTGGTTGAGATGTTTGAATTCTTTATATATTTTGAATATTAAATGCTTATCAGGTAGCCCTGGCAGGTTTGGCTCAGCGGTCAGAGTGTCGACCTGCGGACCAGAGAGTCCCGGGTTCGGTTCCCACTAAGGGCACGTACCTCAGTTGCAACTTGTCTTCAGCCGGGTTGGAGTCGTGTGGGTGGCAACCACTCGATGTGTCTCTCTCACATTGATGTTTCTCTCTCTCTTCCCCCCTCTCACTCCTGCTCTATCGGAAGATAAATGCAAAAAAAATATCCTCAGGTGAGGATAAAACAAAAAAAAAATGCTTATCAGGTATATGATTTGCAAATATCTTTTCCCATTCGGTAGGTTGCCTTTTCATTTTGTTGATGGTTTCCTTTGCTATACAAAAGCTTTTTAGTTTGATGTAGTCTCATTTGTTTATTTTTGCTTTGTCTCCTTTACCGTTGGAATTAAATGCACAAAAACATCACTGATGTCCAGAAACTTAGCATCTATGTTTTCTTCTATGTATTTTATGGTTTCAGGCTTTACATTCAAGGCTTTAAACTCAAAATAGTTTGAGTTACTTTTTGGGTATGGTTGAAAGACAGTAGTGTAGTTTCATTCTTTTGCATGTGGTTGCTGGGACATGTTAGTACACAGAGCACCCTGCATTCCTTTCGCTGATGTCTGCATCCTCAGCCTCTATTTGTATCGTCTACCGCCTCTGTAGTCTTGTTCTGGTAGCAACTGATAGGTAATTCTGTCATATGGATTTGGGTTTGGCTTCAAACTGTGTAGGAGAAACTCCCAAGTCAGAACTCGTAAGAGGAAAATCTAACTGGAAGAGATGGGCGGGAAGCAACTGTGGGTCAAATTATTTGCCTCTAACCTGCCAGAGTCACCAAGAGGGGATGGGTGGGCTAAGAGCTGGACCACCACGTCAAGGATGTTTTGATGAGACGTACTGAGATTCGTCAACAATGAATATAGCAGGTACTACCTATTTGCGCTATTCCAAAAACACATATAGCCAGGTGAAGTGTATAGGAGGCTTGGCTTTTGCCAGAAACACTGTGGAGTTCAGGACAAGTCAGTTCTGTTATCTAGACTTACTGCTTACTGGTTGAGAGGAATATGTTCAGTGTGTAGGCGGAAGGGAATAGGCCCAGGGTTTTGGGTCTCATCCAGGCCTTTGGGGGCTTATGGCAAGCAAGATAAGATAGACAAGATGCAGCCCTGGCCGGTTTGGCTCAGCGGTTAGAGCATCGGCCTGCAGTCCTGAGAGACCCGGGTTCGGTTTCTGCTAAGGGCACGTACCTCGGTTGCAGTTTGTCCCCAGCCCTAGTTGGGTCATGCAGGTGGCAGCCACTCGATGTGTCGCTTTCACGTCGATGTTTCTCTCTCTCTCTTCCTCTCTCTCCCTTTCACTCTCTCTGAACAAAAAATGCAAAAAAATGTCCTCGGGTGAGGATAAAAATAAATAAACAAAAGATAGACAAGATACAGACTATGGGCTGCTTCAGTTTTATATGTAGTTCCAACTAAATGTCTCCGGTTGGGATAGAAGGAGTCAATTCGGTTTGCTAAAACAAATGCTCTGAACAGTACAGGGAAAGGTGCTGAGATGTTCAATAGCCAATGTTGGAGACACTCTGAGGGCAAAAAAACAATGCTTTATATTCATTTCCCTTCCTTTTATTTATTCAACAAATACTTCCTGAGTATCTGCTACAGGCCAGGCTTGCGTTTGGTGCTGTGGATATAGTGAACAAGATAGGCAGGCTCTCAACCTCCAGAGCACACAGCCTAGTGGGGCAGTGACCTCAGGGTTCAGGCAGCGAAAGCAGTGAAGGGAGTGTGGTAAAACTCCCAAGGGAGTTGTTTTGGTCTCAGTTTAACCTTTCCCCTCATGCATTTCATCTTCTTGAATGAGTATCATTTTCCTTAAAAGCCTCACTTAGGCACAGAGCTTGGTCACAGCACCTCCTCAAAACCCTCTTCCCCAGGGGCTTTAAGCTACAAAATCACATTTAAACTCAGTCACAGTGCTGGAGGCAGATTGCTCAGCTTTTTCTAAGGATACAAACATCCGGCCGGCTGGAGTGGCTCAGTGGTTGAGCATCGACCCATGAACCAAGAGGTCGCCGGTTCGATTCCCAGTCAGGGCACATGCCCAGGTTGTGGGCCTGATCCCCAGTGGGGGGCATGCAGGAGGAGGCCAGTTGAAGTTCTCTCTCATCAATGTTTCTGTCTCTCTTTACCCCTCCCTTCCTCTCTCTCTAAAAATCAATAAAGAAAAAAAATACGGAAAAAAAAAAAAGGATACAAACATCAAATACTTCTAGGAATTCTAGTCCTCAAGTCAGCAGCCCTCACGTTGTGTCCTCTTATGAAATAAGGTTGTGCCACTCCAAAAACACATGCAGCACTAGGCAAAGTGTTAGGAAGCCTGCATTTTGCCAGAAACTGTGTGGAGTTTGGAACAAATCAGTTCTACTATGTAGGCCTGTCTCCTTAGCTATAAAATGGAAGAGGCAGACCAGATGATCCACAAGGTTTTGTTTTGTGTTTTTTTTCTCTCTAAGAGTAAATAATTGTAATAATTCCACAAGATGTTCACAAGAAACCTTTCACATTCACATAAAGATAACAAATCTTAATATTTATAAAATGGGACTATTCATCAACCATGCAGAATATCAGGAATCTAGAATCTGAAAGAAATAGGATACAAACAAATAAAACTTAAAACTAAACGCTCTCTACTCCTCCCACCCTCCCCCCATTCCCATGTCCTATATTCAGATCCTTGAGGTCATGAGCACCAGCTGTAGCTCCACTGTGTCATTCACCTAGATTGGGGGATTCTGCAATAAAAAGCTTGCACAGTCAGAATCATCTGCTTTTGAAAGAACCACACTAAAAAGTATCTAATTTTGATAGTCTCACAATACATATAAAATTCCCTTTAAGGGGGAATCAATTCATTGCTATAAAGTATCAGGATATGTACTTTTAGTGCATTTAATTTTTCTTCCCTGAATGCATTCTCATCATAAATTCTATTTCATAATCTCCTCC